TTTAGGACGATATTCTTTTATGACCTTATTCCTTTCTGGAGATTGAGTTCTAGATTTACTTCAAGGATCTGTAAAGAGCCACATGTCCATGCACAAAGGAGTCAGACATCTCCTCTAATAGTGTAGTAGTGTAATGGCTCAACTAAACCACCAACAAAACCCATAGCTTAAACTTGAATATATTAATTATAGAGAAGGTGGATCTGTGCTTCATCCTATCCAGAATGGTTCTCTTGAATTTCCTATTTTTTAACCAGGTATAGTATACTTGAATTGGTATACATAACTTTCTATGTGCCTAATGTTGTTGACATTTGGTTTTTATTTTTGTTTTTATTATTATTATATATATATATATATATATATTTTTTGGGGGGGGGATAAGTTTGATTTTTGGGTTTCTTACATTACTTCAAAGTTAATTTATATACACAATCAGACTAATTTATTGGCTAAGAGCATCAACAGTGAAAAGGCATGCACTACAACATTTGGTTCTCCATTGGAACTTTTTATCTTTGTTAGTTAACAAAACTTGCGTTAATTTTTAATATACACTTCAACATGTTCTCCGAAGTAATCCAACTATTGTTTGTGCACATTAACAAACATTTTTAGCCACACATTTTACAAAAGAATAAGAACTAGAATAAAAGCCTGTCTCCATTAGAAGTTATCATATGGTCCAAATATTGCGTGATTGTGTACTCGTCTGATGATATTTTATAATTTATTCATCATATTTCTTGTTTTTCATACCATATATATTTAGTCTGTTGCTATTGGACAAGCACACAACCAATATGATATTTGATTAGGTTCTAGTTGTTAAAAAAAACAAAAGAAGGTTCTAGTTGACTAATCTCTTTGGGCTGTGATGGTTTTGACATGGGCTAATTAATCAGATTTTGAGAGGGAGAGAAAGAGAGAGCCCAGATTTGGGAAATAAGAAAAAAAAAAGGGGGGGGATTGAGAGGGAGAGAGAGAGAGTCGGGAAAATGAGATGTTTTATTTATTTTTATTTTTGTAAGAACACGATTGGGTCAGGCAAATGAGATGTTTGATGTCTAAAAATGATTTTTTTGCGACCGTTAAATAATCAGTCGCAAAAAAATAGACGCAAAAAGTCTTATTTCTAGTAGTGTCACTGTTTATTTTTCATTGTGTCTCTATTTATTCATCCACAAATATATTAATTTACATTTATATTTTTTAAGTGTTCATAAAAAAATCTCTCATTTTTTGTATTTTTTCTGTTCGGTGTATACTTTGGTCAATAGAGAATTTATATTTTGTGATATTATTCACGATGCAACAAATCCTAAGATATGAATTTTCTTCTCTATTGAATTGAATTTTTTTTTTTTTAAAAAAAAAAAAATAGAGATAGAGTTCTCATAAAGAGGTGTCATGTCTTAATTTTAACTTCTTCATTTTTTTTATTGTTGTGTGTATATACGAAACACTTGGTTTTGTGTCACAAGCTGGTCCCTTGTCATCATCCCGAAAAGTCGGTTTCATAAGTGGTACAACATACCCCCTTGTATTATACCCAAGGACCAATGCAAAGGATGTGATAGGGATCTACCCTGTCTGCCTTACTGCTCACAAATTAATGTGCTTGTAAGATACTTAATGTAGAACTCGCACCCCCAATGAGTTGGTACGTGACACTTTGTCATTATGTTATGTAGTTGTTCCAAATCGAACCACATAATTTTATGTAGAACTAATGTTTATATAATTGTTTTATTTATTATGCTACCAGACTTTCACAGTGAAGAGCGAGTTATTTGTGTTCAACATGAAAATTATGTATATATATATTCTTTTTTTATTCTTTTTTTTTTATAGTTGTTTTTACCTATCATATATATATAATATTAAAAGTAGTGAGGTGGCATATTATAAGGGTTTATTTTTTTTTAAGAGAACTACATCAGCATGTAATTTTTTAATTACATATGGAGTTTTACACAAACTCAAACCTAATTTAAATTATATTAACTTTACATATTTATATGGACTCTATTTGACAAATATTTTTTTTCCTTATATTTTTCATAGTGAATTGAGATATTCTACAAATCCAATTTAAGATTTTTTTTTTAATGCTAAATTGCCTCCTTTTTTTTCGTGCATTATTCTATACGCAATACCAATTTTATATTATTTTATATTATGAATTTGCTGTTTCAATTTTAAACTAATTCTATATATGAAATTATATTTCATTTTCTATGTTATTTAATATAATCACAACACACATGAGGAAAACCAACACAATATGATATTCTCGAGGAATTTCTAAAGTTTAGATTTATTGCTTAAGTTACTTTTTCAATTATTGAACTGTAAGTTCTTTTATGTTTTGATATCATATTACATATGATTAATCACTTTGCACATTGAGACGTATCTATTGTTTGAATATTTTCATTATTATTTTTTTTTTTGGATTTAGATGTTGTTATGTGATTCTTTCTTGATTAGCCATTATTGAATTTCTTTTATATAATTAATATTTTAATTTAATTACATTATATAAAATCATATGATAATCCAACTACAACATATTTATATTTAATTTTTTTAATGAATTTTATATAATTTCTAGTTCTACATATTTTTATTTTCCAAATGAATATAAAAGAAAATTAAATAGTTAGAATTACTTTTAATTTTATGTTACTATAGTATTATTTTTAATATCAAAATGAGTATTTATTTTACTATTTTATAATTTAATATATATCATACAAAATTATTATATGATAATTACACTTTTATAATATGATAGAACTAAAATTATCAAAATACACAAATAATTTAACAAAAATTAATATATATAAATATTCAAGTAACAATTTTATAGAACGATAACGCCAATATTATCTAAATAAATAATTAAAATCATACATTAATTTAAAATTAAAATTAAAATTATTTTTTTATAACACACATTGTACCATCAAATATTTTTTGAAAAAAATAACAACAATTTTATAGAACAATAGAGCCAATATTATCAAAATAAATAATTAAAATAATACATTAATTTTAAATTAAAATTAAAATTATTTTTTTATAACACACATTGTATCATCAAATATTTTTTGAAAAAAAAATAATACTTGCATTACACGAGTCAACTGGTAGTTAACTATTATGTATCACTTTACTCCTCAACTACAAATTGTAACACCTAAACCCCGTCATTTACTAAATTTTTTCGGGGAACTTACCAATAAGTCTCATATACAAAGTTCAAGACCTATTTAATCCTCAAACAAAACAGTTACACCAATTAGTTCTATATATTTTTAATTGTTACCAAAAAATTTTTTATTTTTTTTTAATTTACAGACACTGTTACATCCTACTATCGTCGAACTTCCGTCAAACGGTCACCGGAGACTCGTCGGAATGTTCAACATCACCGGGAAGTCGCCAGAGTATCGTCGGAATGTTTAGAACGTTCATTGGACGTTAAGAATATTATTGGAGACTCACCAGAATGTCTAGAATATTGCCGATAAAAAAAAGAATAAATGAAGAAATTAGAGAGAAAAAAACATAACAAAATGTACTAAATATTGATAAACAAAAGAAAAAAAAATAGAACGACAAAAACAACAACAATGAGAAAAACATATGCTATTTTTCAATTTTTGTAAAGTTTAAGCAAATAATCTCCAATATTGATCAAACTGAAAAGTAAGTTTTGAAATTGTAAAATATTACAGTTTCAAAGCAAAAATCTATTAAGCATTTATCCTTATTAATCAAACTGAAAAACATGTTATAAAACTGTAAAATTTTATAGTTCTAAAGAATGTTATGAAACTGTAAAATTTTACAATTTTATACCATGATTCATTATAGCACCAAAAAAATTTGAAACTACAAAATTTTATAGTTTTAAACTATGATTCATTCCAACACCAAAAAAATTTGAAACTGTAAAATTTTATAGTTTTAAACTATGATTCATTCCAACACCAAAAAAATTTGAAACTACAAAATTTTACAGTTTTAAACTATGATTCATTCCAACACCAAAAAAATTTGAAACTGCAAAATTTTACAGTTTTCACTGCCTGTAAATAAAACTCGAAAACAACTTGTTCAAAATTTGAAATTTTTTTCCATTAGAACAGAAAAAAAGAAGTGTATAGCAGAGAAAATGTAGAAAAAAATAAGAGATCGAAGGAAAAAGGCGGATATAGAGAGAGGATTATACTCCGACAACTATTTTTTGTTTAGATCTAGCCAAATTTGATGTAGATCTGCTCAGATCTGATAGATTTACTTATCTTCTTCATTGGAAACCTATCTTCTTTACCGTCGGTGAGGGTGAAGTAAGGAGTCGTACGGTCGGTGGTTGTCGGTGAATCTCAATCGATGGTAGTCGTCGGTTGCCAATGAGAATATATCGAAAAAAGAAAGAGAAAAAGTAAGATATGATTACGTCAATGATCGCCGGAAATCACAAAGAGCAAAAGATACAGAGAAGAAGAGAGACAGAGAAGAAGAATAACGTTATAGGACTTTTGGATATAAACAAAAGGTTATGGGACTTAATAGACTACATGTTTTTAAAAAAAGACTTCTCGGTAATTTTCTCATTTTTTTCAATGTAGACATTTATGATGAAAATATCTTTTTATGAATAAGATAAATTACACTTTACTTCTTCAAACTATCATCATCGCTTTATTCCCTCAACTAAAAAATAATATATTTTCTCACAATTTAATTTATATTTGATTTACATTTACCTTTCTAAATGTTTATTTAAATTTATTTCATATAATCTAAAAATGTTTCATCAAAAAAAAAAAAAACATATATAATCAAAAAAATGTAACACAAAATCAACCGGTCAAACCTATTTCCGCAATACCAACGGTTCAGATCTAACAACTCCCCCTCCACGTGTACGCTATAGATTAGACCCCACGAGTTGTCATCGTGCAGGGCACCACCTTATATTTTTCGTCCTATAAAAACCCCAAAAAACCAAATCCAATCTCGATCTCCCCCATCTGTAGATCTCGCCGTTGTCCGTACAATCGCCGGTGTATTCTCGCCGGAAAGTTATCACCGGATATTGAAGTCTCTCTCTCTTCTCCAAAGGTGTCTATATATGTATATATATATGTGTGTGTGTAAAGCATAGATCTTTGTTATCGTTTTGTTGCAATTAGGGTTTTTTTCACTGTCTAGTGTTTTTAAAATTAGGGTTATGGTCCTTCATTGCGGTGTTTGGTTGCCGAGAAAACGAGGAAATAGTTTTCAGCAAATGAATAAGTCAGTTCAGCTCAATAAGTTAGCTGCAGTTGAATGAAGCTCGAGTTAATGAGTGAAATTTTTTATTTGTAATTGTATTTGAATTCCTGAATGATGAACACAAAATTGTGTTTTTTTTCTCAGAAACCAAACAAGGGAAATTTTTAAATAGTGAAATTTGTTTTGTTATAGTTTATATTTGATATATAATGTTTTTTTTTCTCTGCAGACGAAGCTTGTGGGAAAAAGCTGGGTTTTTTTTTTTTTTTCGTGACACTCTCTTAAGTTAGCTAAAAAGGTGGATTTGTCATTGCCAAAATCCACTGGTAAAGGTGTGAGGATTGAATTACTCAATTGATTACTTGGACGGAAAGTTTGTTGAAGCAAATCAGACATGGTAAATTTGAATTCTCTTCTGGAATTTTGGGTTTCAATGAGCTTTGTGTTTGTCTTTTGTGTCACATTGCATATAAGTGCTGATAGATTTTGCATGCGGATGTTTCTTGTGATAAATTTATAAGAAAAAAGTTTTATCATTATGCAGGGAAGTTAAAATCACAAGTGGGTGTGGCTTGCAGAACTTGACTGACAAGTTTCTGTATTCATTTGTCTTGTAGAAGTTGATTCACATTTTAGCTTGACCTATTTTATAATTTGAAAAAGTTAATATGCATTCTATTAACACTGAATTTAAGAATTTTTCCTAAATGTGATAGTCTTAAACTCTGCCGAAGTTAGTTATAGTCTTGGACTGGAAGTTCTGGAGAGTATTTGTCTAGATCTATTGCTGTTTAAGAACTCAAAGAAAGGTTGGGAACTTTGAACATTCACTAACAACTAATTCTATTTCCAGTTCTATAGCTGTTTTAAACATATCAAAATTTGGTTGTTTGCAATAATTGTTCCAAACGCTGGAATAAAAATCTTAGACTCATCGAGCACATCATTGTCATCGTCGTCATAAAGATTGGTCTCCCTTTCTTAGTAGGAGGTGTCCAGACCACCTTTTGATGTTATTAGTAAAGAGACTAATCTAGTCTTATCTTGCCTTACCCATTAGAACCTCTTTCGGTGAAGTATGAATCACTCAATTATAAAAAATTTTGTCTAGATGATGAACCTGACTCATGTACGTCTTGAATCAATGCTCCTTTTCTTTCTGTGGTAGTTGTGAATTTTTTTAGATGTAAGCCTAGGACCTTACTTATGTAGTTCCTCCCTTTCTTCTTGGGTTCTCTTATAGTGTAGCAGCTCATGATTCTCCTGTATCATCTTCGAGTGAGCCTCTAGGATCTCCCGTAAACCCCCATGATGGTGGTAAAGGGAGGATAGTAGGGGAAGCAGTGAGAGGAGATTCCTCTGTAGAGAGTCGGACGAGGGGAAACCTTCACGTCCGTTCAGAGGGCAGGGATACCCCAACCCCACTATTATTATGCATTTGCAATGGTTACTTGGTTTAACTCTGTTTGTGCAATAGCTTCCATTTTTACCACTAGGCTCAAAACAAAAGTAGATTTGGCCATTTTTAATTGTTGTAAATGCAGAAAGGTTGATATCTGATACTGAAAAGTAATTTTCGGATGCTAAAGTCTTTTATAGTTCGTTTGGGAAGTGGGTTGGGTTTTTGGCTTTTTGGCTTTTTGGATATTTTAGCCTGGGGCTAAAAAGCCTGGTTTGGGAAGGGTTTTAGGTTTTTTTTGGCTTTTTTGTGAGAGAAAGAATGTAATGATTATGGGTTGGATGTGATATTTTTGTCTTATTGGGCTTAAAAGTCTATTTTGTTTTTTGTGGCTAAAATAGCCAAAAAAATCCCAACTTTTGCTTCCCAAACGAAGCCTTAGGATTTTTCTTTTGAAATTTTGGCTTTAAAACTCGTAATGAAAACTTGTAGGGTGAGAGCAGCAAAGGTAGTTGTAGTGTTGGATGTTTTAAAGCTCTGGGGATAATTATGTCAACACTGTTTGATTTTTGGATGTTCTGGATAATAAGCGTCCACCTATTGCTAGTTGAGAACTCAAAGAATGTTTGGCGTTTGATGTTTTTTGCTAATGGTAACCTATTGCAGTTAATTTAAGCATATTTTAAGGTCTCTGTGTTCTGGTGATTTACATTACATCCACTAAAGTTTATTTGAGTTGCGTTCAGTTTTCATATTAGAGTGTTGGAGTTTAAAGTCTATTCTCAATTTTATGCTCATTAGTGTATTTTTTGTGTGTGTGTGTGTGTGTGTGTGTGTGTGTGTAAAGAAGAAAAAGACTAGGTTTTGTGGAAATTATAAAATGAGAAGGCAACAAAAAAGAAAAAGAAAATGTAAGACTGAATTAAATGTGTGGCCTGGGTGAGGAAGAAGAGGGATACATATAATCTTGATGGCTGCTTGTAACTGTTCAGTACTTAATAGTTAATACTTATAGAGGCCTTGAATAATCAAGGTTCTTTTTATGCTTCGATAAATAGGTGCAAGTGAGCACATCTGAGTTATTTTTTGTCATAGTCTTTCCAGAACAAGGGCTTTTGGATGGCAAAGGGTGCTGAGTGTTTAACTGATGATGAGATGGCCTATGGTAGCTCCTCCAGAATTGAGCCAAAGCATCCTCATCAGTGGTTTATGGATGGTACTGAGGCTGAGCTATTCCCCAACAAGAAACAGGCAGTTGAAGTTCCAAACCACAGTTCATTCTCTGGACTTCTAAATTCAAATGCTTCTCCATGGGAAAATGCTTCCAGTTTTAACTCTCCTACAGGCCAATTTACTGAACGCTTATTTGAAGCTGAAACTGCAAGGACCATCAATTTTGATGACAGGAATATTCCATCAGTTGGTACAGGCAATATCAATATGGGAAGAAAGGTCATTGAGGATCCATTTGGGAGTGATTCCTTATTTGGTTTGTCTATGTCTAATACACTTGAGGATCCTAGATCAGGTCTTAACTATAGTGGAATCAGAAAAGTGAAAGTCAGCCAGGTGAAAGACATTGATAATTTCATGTCAGTATCAATGGGACATGCCTATAACAGAGGGGATAATAGTACCATGCCAACACCTCATGCTTATGGAAAGCCTGATGATAATTCCATTTCAATGGGCCTCTCATTCAATAGAGGCAATGACAACATCATATCAATGGGTGATGCCTATAATAGGGTGGGTAACAATTTTATATCAATGGGTCAACCATATAACAAAGGGGATGACAGCACCATATCGATGGGTCAGTCTTTCTGCACGGGTGATGACAATATCACTATAATGGGTCAAACCTTCAACAAGGAGGATGATAGTAACATATCAATGGGCAATGCCTTCAAGGACGATAATAATACCATATCAATGGGTCAGTCTTTCAGCAGGGGTGACGACTCTATCCCATCTATGAGTCAAAGCTTCAACAGAGTTGAAGGTAATACTATATCTATGGGTACCTCATACAACAAGGTGGCTGACAATGCCATATCAATGGGTGGCCAAACCAACAACAAAGTTGAAAACAACACTTCATCAATGGGTCAATCTTTTGGTAAGAGAGAAAGCAATATCATATCCTTTGGAGGGTTTCAGGATGATGATGATGATATAAATTCTTCAGGAAGGCTTATATGTAGTTATGATTTGTTGATGGGTCAGTCTTCAACTCAAAGACCAGAATCAGCAAGTGAGAAAGGTTTGGTTGAATCAGATGTTGATGCCATTGTAAGTGCTGCTAAGATAACTTCCTATGCAAGAGAAACTGTTTCTAAGAAGAAGGAAGATCAGAAAGGGTCCAAAAAGGTTGCTCCAAACAATTTCCCTTCAAATGTTAGAAGTTTGCTTTCAACTGGTATGCTGGATGGAGTACCTGTGAAGTATATTACCTGGTCGCGGGAGGTATAACTTTAGTTTTACATGTGTTCATCTTTTAGATAAGCTTATCATTTGGTGACTCATGGTTCTTTTTTGCATGGTAGAAGGAGCTTCACGGTATCATAAAAGGTTCTGGTTATATGTGTGGCTGTCAGTCATGTAATTTTGCTAAGGTCAGTTGGGTATTAAGCTTAGAATTTTTAAACCTATCCTGTTCAGCTAACACCAATCAATTGGTTTGTTTAGGCAATTAATGCATATGAATTTGAGCGTCATGCTGGTTGTAAAACAAAACACCCAAACAATCACATATATTTTGAGAACGGGAAGACTATTTATGGAATAGTTCAAGAGCTCAAGAACACACCTCAAAATTTGTTGTTTGAAGTTATTCAGACAATTACTGGATCGGCCATTAACCAGAAATCTTTCCGTCTTTGGAAAGGTAATTCAAGTTATTTGGTTTAGTTACCAGTGAGTGACCATTCAATATGTTTTGATACAATGCCTTCCTGCTCACATGAACTCTTTTTTCTCTGCTTCAGAATCGTTCCTAGCTGCTACTCGTGAACTTCAGCGTATATATGGAAAGGATGAAGGGAAACAATTGTCGTAAAGTTTCCTTGTTCAAATGTAATGGTGGGAAAATCTTTTCCCTTGTGCAGATAATTATACATCTTTTTGGTAATATTTTGTTATTAATCATAGCAATGTAAGTAGTAGGAGGTCGAGCATCCTTATGGTTTAGAGATGAGGTTTTGTTGTGGAACTGGAAATCAACATTACAGGCACAGAAAAAACCTTATACTTTGGTCGCTTAATGTAAGTTTCAACTGCATCATCTTAAACATTCTGAAGGAGAAATGAAAATCAAGATAGTTGTTATTGGCTAGTTAGTTTATGTGATACTTCGTCACATGTTTGGTCCTTGTGATTAATCTTTCATAAACCATATGCAATTTTGAAGCCTTTTAAGATAGTTTATGCACTTTGTCACATGTTTGGTCCATGTAGTTAATCTTTGGTCTGTATCAGATCTTATGCAATTTGCTTGAAGCCTTTCAATATAGTTTAAGTCAATAATATCACATGCTTGGTCCATGTCTTTCTTTCCTTTTTGGGTTTTGTACTTTTGTTTTGACCTTGTGAGGAGTAATTGAGCAGAATTACCTATACTTTTAATGAAACCTGAACTGTGTTGAACTGAGTGGAGGCAATCTAAGGTTGCCACTCCTTTCAAAAGGCATATAATTTATACGGAATTGATACTGGTCCTTTCAATCTGCTTAAGGTCAGGATTCAGTCAATCTTAACTAATAATTACATTAAATTACACCAATTTTTCTCTCCCAGTTGCATTAGATTATAGCAGTCTGTTCATTTTGCATGAAAGTAATGATCTGCTGTTGGTCTTACCTGCAGAAATATAAGGGGAGAAAGATTGCGGTTACTGGTTTGCCTGGGACTCACTGTCATCATTCAATTTTCTAAGTCCAGTTTGTGCTTTGCATACTTAGTTACTACCAATTTGCACATGCATTGCGTGTGCAAGACATTTTACCCGTAAAGATTATATAAAAATCAAAATTGATTTTATTGGTTATTGCGTGTTGTGGAGGTTTTTTTTTTTCTTTTTCTGTGAAACATTTATTGGGAGTCTTTTAACTGGCTGGTCCAATGAAAAGGGTAGTATGGGAGTTGATAGTGATACAAAGAGACATGGAAAACTACAAAGAATGTTTTGTTGAGCTTGTGAGAAAAGACATGTTGCTGTGACTTTATGGTAATCATTTGTGTGTGTGAGGTGGATAGAAGGAATTTTTAGCAAACTAAGTTGTCAGGATGAAGGATTGTTTTGGTCAAACTTGGCAGTTATTTATTTTTAAAGTCATCATGATGCTATAAGATAACCTGGTGATGTGCATTCTTGAACTGCTAACCCATAAATTAGTCCCGCTTATGAGGAGTTGATCAGTAATTATGGGTTTGTATCTCTTTCTGTTGCCCTGATTTGCACAATTATTATTTTTCAGGGATTTTCTAAGCTGGGCTCTTTATCCATTAACTTAAGACATTCCAGACTTAGAAATTAGAATAGTATAAGTTGAGTTTATCAACTCAACCATGTGGGCCAAGTTTGAGTGCCCATCAAAATTTTGGGCTGCTTATGGTATTTGTTTTTTTGGGTTAGTAACTTATGGTATTTGTTATCATGAACTTAGGTGCCCGAGTTAGAATATACTCCTGTCTGGATCATCCTGGAGATGACAACTTACGCACCTATTTGTTTTGTCATAAGGTGGAAGCAAACGGGCAATCCATTGAACTCTCCATTGGCATTCTGTTTTAAATAATCTGATTCGGTAGAAAATCGCTTTGGCATCTGAATGGATTTTGGTGGTGGATTGGATAAACAAAGTAAAGAAAGAACAAAGGGTTAAGGTGTCTTGCATTGTTGGAACAGGTAGATTTGCTCTTCTTTATATAGGATTTTGTGGAATCAAACACCAGAGGGTGTTTGGCATCTCATCAAACTAAAGAAGCAAAGGCTAAATATTTTTCTTGCATCTCCTGTTTGTTCAAAAGAAAAGTTACAGCTCTTTACATAGAAGAACTGAATAGGTTACTTAATGGTTAATTAAGAGGTAAGTTGCCCATTAAGTTGCAAGTAGCTCATTAGTAGTAGACAAATAGCTCACCACTAGCAACTTAATGAGGAGATTACCTTAGAGCTAAGTAATTGAATTACCAAAATGCCCAAAGCGTATAAATATAACTTTTTAAAAACTCTTCAAATCCATTAAGCTCCATGGTGGAACCAGTTTTTAAAGTGGACTAAATCTTCAAAATTTTCTTTTTCTTCTTCTTTGGCCCTCATGGTCTGCATCATACTCATTTCCCTTGCCTCACTTTCAGGCACTAGTTTCGTTTACCATTAATAAACAATTTATTCAAAAGGAAGATGCTTCAGAAAATGAGGTCTACTACTGTTTTTATAGCTGTGAATTGTCTGAACTTGTTAACTTTAGAAAACACGTATGCTAGGCTGTGGTCTGGTTTCCTTTATCAGACTTTTGTACCTCTATGGTCATGGTTCCTTTGTTAGATGCATCGATGGTGATGATCTCATGACATGAAATTCCATCTCCATTGTTATCTTGATCCATCGTTTGCTTAGCTGGTGCTGTTTGGTTGTCAGTTAATGGGAATAGAGAGTCGTAATCCTTGCTTTTACCCCACACAACAAAATATAGACCTGCAACTATAACAATTGCGCCAAGTATCCTGTAAAATTATGCCATTAGCTATCTTATTTGCTGTTTAGGGGTCTACATGTAAATTAGGTAAGTGTTTGAGAGTTACCTTCCTAGGTACATTTGTTCAGCCAGAATAAATGAGCTCATGATAGCTACAATGACCATGCTCAGTGGGCTGAAAGCCGTCACAAAAACAGGTCCTCTGTCTTTCATTATTACTCCTTGAATGTAATAAGTGAGTCCCGAGCAAACTATGCCCTGCATATATACATTTTAAAACAAAGAGATGTAGAATATTACCATTTTTGGCAAAAGCTGGTTCTCCCATGTCATGAGAACAAATCCTCTATTTTACATCGTTGTGTGTAGTAGTTTCAGAATTTTTATTTCTAGAAAGGTATAATTCATGTTGTAGTTTTGTGAAGAAACGTCAATTCATATTGAAGTGAACAGAAGCTTTGACGGGATTGCTATGAATTGGGGGCCTCTAGAAGGGAGTTGGGTTGATTTAGAGAATATGGCTACAATGAAGTTGGGGTTTAGGGAAAAACAGTCATTAATGTACTGCACATATTTGATTTTCTTATCCCTGGTTAACATTAAGAAAGAAAATTTTGTTTTCCCATTTATTCTCCTTACACTGTAAAGAGCTGTCAGGAGTTTGGTGTCCCAGCTTATAGACCAGACACTAGCATTTCCCCTCTCCATTATAAGCGCCACTATGGCCCCCTGAGCTGTTCCTAATAGGCATATCCAAGCAGTGAGGGAGAGCTCAGTGGGATATGTCTTTAGCGTGATTGCCTAGAGAAACAGAAACAAATATAATTATGATCTCAGATAAAAATTAATTGTCCATATCTAGCAGTTCATATAGCGACCAACTTACTTGCAGATTCATGAAACATGCCCAGCTGAAGCATCCAACTGTAATCATTAGGGCTCCCTTAATTGAATGTTGAAGATTTACCCCACCCTTTTGAAGTTCATTAATGCTGCTTCCTTTTTTCCTAAACAGCTGAATAATTGGGCCTTTTACTAGTGTCATGATCATGGCTCCTCCAACAGTGGTTATTGTCCCAACTATCTTAGCTTGGCTGCGAATACTCTTTATCTTTATCCTCTCCATCCTAGGACAGAAAATTTTAACAATTCCCCAGACATACAAACACCATGTCAGACATGTTTCAAGAAAACCTGTTTGTGTTTATGTGGATCATGGTTTTATGTATTGGCTGTTACATATCGAGATTTCGGACTTCCAATAGCGTTATTCGTATATCGGCTGATACTATCCGATATTGGCTGGTATATGACTGTATCACCCAAGGTTTTGAAAAACCGGACCGGACCGGACCGGCCAGTTCGACCGGTTGAACCGTTGACCGGTCAGGGTTCCGGTCCGGATGCACCCCTTGAACTGGCCAGAACTGAAAACCGGCGTATTTAGTGAGAACCGGAAAAACTGGTGGTTGAACCGGCGAACCGGTCGACCCGGAGCCATAAGAATATAAAAAAAATTTAATTTGAAACTCTTTTTCAAGGGTCTCCTCTTGTGAGGAATCCCATTAAGAGCTTGATGAAATTATTGTGAAAGTTTTCACCTATTTATAAGAAAAAAATTCTTTCAAAAAGACTCAAGAAATTCATGTGGGATTCAATCAAATGTATTGGAGGGAATATTGAAATTTTGACATCCCTCCAAAATTTTTGCTCTCATTTCAATCAAATTATTTGAATTAAAATCATATGGAGGGAATATTAAATATTTGATTTCATCTTCCAAAATTAAAATTAATAATACTTTAAAATATATTATTATATTTTTCAATAAAAAAAATATTAGGATAAATATTTAAGATAATTTAATATTTTTAATTTATAATTTTATTACTTATATTTTTATTTAAATATAATTTTAATATATTTATTACGTCACGGTTCAATTCCGGTTCAACTTGACCGGTGACCCGTCCACCCGATTCTTTTTCCGGTTCGCTCACCGGTCCGGTTTTTAAAACATTGGTATCACCAATACCGATACACATCCCAATATCATTATTTAAAACCATGATGTGGATGAATATGCATGTGCATGTTGGGAAAACTTATGCAACTTTCTCTTGTTGGGAAAGCTTATGCAGTTACGATGTTAGTGGTTCAGTGATGTGCATATTGATTACCCAAGAAAGCAAGCCATTAGAAAAGTTATGGCGGGAAGAATATTGGACATAGCAGTTGCGAATGTCGCTGTTGTGTATTTCATCCCCAAAAAATACAGGTTCTGATCAATGACTGGCCTGCGATGACAGATATATAGTAGCCAGTTAGGTCATTGCATGAGGGATCTGAGGAAAAAGTTGGTGTAATAATTCAGGGAAATTACTCAAGTAAGCTCAGCAGCATAATTTTGGCAAAGATTGAGAAAGTCATCTTTGGCCTTGCTTTCCTGTTGAAAATATGTTGTCAGTTTTTGTCACTTCTAACAGAATTATTGATGGTGATAAATATACTGACAATACACGTGCGCGCGCGCACACACACACACACACGCGTGGAGAGAGAGAGAGAGAGAGAGAGAGAGAGAGAGAGAGACTTGTCCAGAATGACCGCAAATGGGGTGATGACAATAGTGGCAATGGCATGGCGGTAAACAACAAATACATAATTGCTCATCCCCTCGTTCAATGCAACCTTAGAAAGTATATCCATCCCTGCAAACCCAAATTGCAAAAAAATGACAGCAAAGAAAGGCTTCAACCTGTTGTACATTTTACCCAAAGGCTGATAGGATATTTGGTTTCTCATTGCTCACTGCCTCTTTTGAGTATTCAAAATGCTCTTGACGTGTTTTCAAATTTATAGGTGTATTGTGTTCCTTTTTCTTTTAAAAAAATCTGCTTTATATTATTATCATCCTTTAAAAAATGGGGATTCCACTGATGTATTTAAAGTCAATTATTGCTTAAAAGTCCCTGTCACCAAACATGAAGAGGATACGTCTTTGGTCACACAAACCTATGTATCTGTTCACCATATCTTTGTTTATGTGCAAGCTTCTAGACCCTAATAAAGAAATTCCTTTATAAACTATTTATTTCATTAATTTCCAGTGGGATTGTTGTTGTATATTCATGAGATTGATTTGATTCCATAATTAGAGATTTGCAAGTATTAAGTACTTATTGGACCCCGTCTTAAATTTGCAGGATTGCGTGAGTAAAGTACATCAGTTTTGCCTACAAATGCAAATGCAGCACACAGGTCCTGTGGCTTTGAGCAAAATACATTTCTGTGTGAGCCCACCACTGTCAGTAAGTTTTGTTGAGAAAAGAAATGTAATCTTTTTTGTTTTTTATGTTTTTTTTTTTGGCTGTAAATTAGAAGACGTGTTTGCGTAATCTTCACACCTATACCATAATTGAAGGTGACGTATGTTACATTTGATTAACAGAAAATTCCCACTTCCGTAACACTTTCCCAATATGCTTTGGTATTTTTATTTTGAGGCCTAGAGACCATGGTCAAGAACACTAGGCACTGCAATCCCACTAATTGACACTTTACCCTTTGCTTTTTCATTATTTGTTGTCTTTTGCTTTTGGGCTCGTCCCACGTCCAATTTGAAACTCCATTACATCTACCTTTTATAATATGGTCTCTGTGATGACCCCATTTAAGCAAAAAAGGGTTTGTCCACTACCCCTTGACTAGCCTATGCTGCTAGGAATCTCTGTTTTCTGGATAGGATTTCCAGTCACTGAGACTCAGTATGGTCTTGATTCTCGATGGCGAGAGTGTGTTCACATGTATGTGTGTGTATGTGGGTACTTGTGTATTTGAACATGATGGTTTAAACTAAAACTCTCTTCGATGACGGTAATAAGGGATTTAGATTATTAGCTGGACATGGCAGATGAAACTAACAAAATCATGAAACTATCAAAATCGATGATGGAGTTCAGATATTTCACATGTATTGGTCGAGGGTTATTCCCTTGAAACTCCAACAAAAGAATATGGGGCTTATTCAGCTCATCTTTTGTAAGTGTAATCCAATGTGGTGAAAGTTGTCGTAGATATGGCGATACAGAAATACAGCTTTGGCAGGCATTTATCTTTTGTGTTTTTTTTTTTTGGATTGGGTAAGTGGCAGACATTTATTGCATAGGTAATCTTGATAGGACAACCTGAGGATCTGAATTTGGATTTAGCCAGGCACGGGAAGGGAAGCCATGACTACTGTCGTTTTTGTGCTCTGCTCGTAAGTAGGCTCTTCTGCTTTTGGTGGTTTAATGTGAGCCGTCTAATATGCTTTCATTGATTCTCACTTAATTTTAGTGTCAAGTTTAATGATGTTTTTAATAGTCAGCTCGTGTATGTTTTTAGATCTGTGTGTGTGTGTGTGTGTGTTGTGGTTATTTGATGATAATAATGCTCTATTACATCACAATTAGGGCTTCAAATGAACAAGGTTGTTTGTGAGCAGGTTCGAGCTCGGCTCGGTAAGAGTTCAATCGAACTCGGTTCGTTAAATTTTTTGTGTTCGAGCTTGAGTTGGAAAGCATTAAATTTTTAATAAACAAGTCCAAACATTCTAAAGTTCAGCTCTTAAGTTCGGCTTGTTAGTTGGCTCGTTTAATATTTATTATTTATATATTAAATAATGTAAAAATATGTATAAAAAGTAAGATAAATATATTATTTATATACTTAAAAAAAATATAAATGTAAATAATAGTTAACTATAGATAGTGCATTTATATAATAGTGGTGGTAGATATTATTATTTTGATAAAATATTGATTGTTTTTTAGAATGTTTATATAAATTGTATATATAATTATATAATTAAAGTTTTAATTGTAACTTTAATCTCATACGCAAGTATGAATTTATAAATTTTTTGACTCGTTAAGACTCGTGAATAAATTCGAGCACGAGTCAAACCTAAGGCAACTCGGTTCGAGTTCGGTTTGTTAAATTTTTATTGAGTTAGAGTTTGTTTTCAAATTTGAGTTCGAGTTCGTTAAAATCTTAATAAACAAGTCTAAATATGTTAAAATTTGATTCGGTTCGATTCGTTTGCAAGCCTAATCACAATGGCTTGAAGCTGCAACCGGGTGGGGAGGAAGAACTAATTTTAAAACCCCATTCCTGGAATGCACTGTTCAAGTTTGTTTGGTGTCTCATCATTACGTTCTCAAAACACCAACTCAGCATGCAGGGTCTTGAATCCACCGTTGAAGCTACACATAGCAGGTTAGTTCACGGCCTAATGACATTCCCGGATTACCAATTCAGCAAGTTAACATGATATTTTTGGATTAATAATAACAATGGTGATAGTTTCATCGCGAGGATTACCAATTCAGCAAGTTAACATGATATTTTTGGATTAATAATCACGATGGCTATAGTTTCATCGCGATAGTTACCCGACGAAAGGATATAACTTGTGTCACTTTTAATCAGTTGGGTGGAGATAAGATTAGTCCCTTACATGACTTTTTGTGGGCCTAATGGCCTAGTGGTACTACTTGACGTGCGACTGTAGTATTTTGACTCAATACAAAGGACCTTTTGTTTTTAGAATTAACTTGGATAGAATTATTAGTGAGGGGATTGAGAAAAATTATTTTTGTTTGTAATATATTTCAATGAGGGGATTAATTATATGAAATGTCATAAATATCCTTTGGTATTTTTGATATATTTTAATATAATACTAAAAAAAACGTGTACACATACAAACACACAATATGGGCAAAATAGATTTTTTAAAACTAATTCCCTTGATGGTCTTTGTCAATTCCTTTTCCTATTTTGTAAACAGACGCCATTGTAATGGATCCCAACATCTATCACAATCTAATCCCCTTCTCTATCAGTCAAAATAAATAGGCCTAAAGTCTCTTTCTTCTTCTTCTTTTTTTTTAATATATTCTCAATTATGGAATTATATTTTAAGATTTTCATGGTTAACAATTAGGGATGTGCACGAATAAGTGGATTCACGATGAGGTAAAGGTATATAAATTAAATTTGGTTTATATTTTTATTTAAAATGAATTCAAAGTAATCAACACATATGCCTAATAATGTGAATGCATTATTAAGAGGACATATGATCACCCTTTTCATGATTGTCTGACTAGATTTTCATAAAAAAAAAATGACCAGGTGCCAACTACAAGTCAATTATGAATGCTATTTTATTGTAATTTTGACCCAATAATATTTAAATCTTAAATTTATGAAAGAAAAATAAAACGTTAATAAAATAAAATAAAATAAACAAAAATTTCAATTTCATGAAATCTCCTTTAAGCCCTTCTATCTCCTTCATCGTAACTCCATTTTGCCTCATTTTTATGTCGTTGAATTCAACTCATGGTCTAATTTTCGTATCACATCTCACACATCTCGTTCCTCCTCTTTTTGCATGCTATCGGAGCTCAGAAAGTTGATAAAAATAAAATAAAATAAAATAAAAAGAGACTTTTCTTCTCATTTCGACTTTTTTTCGAGCCATCTTTCGGACTTCATATCTTTCACAATTCTTAACGGTTCTACTTTATTCTTTCACTATTCTCTTCACCTCACTTTCTACTTCGCCCTACACTACCTCACTTTCTCACTTCTTTATGTAATGGGTGGTTTTGGTATGCTGAAAGTTCTCCAAAAACTAATTTCGAAAATTTCAAAACATTCATGTTTTGTTTATTTCTTCTCCTTCTTTCTCATTCTTCTTCTTCTTCACTTATAACATGATGTGGAACATAGTTCTAGGTGGTAATGGAGCTGGTAATGGTGGTGGTGGCGGTTTGGCGATGGCGGTGGGTTTGGTGTTGTAAGGTGGCGGTGATGGTAATGCTCATGGTGGTAGTAACGGAACTTGGTTATGAAAAAGGTGGGTTTGGTGTTGTAAGGTGGTGGTGATGGTAATGATCATGGTGGCAGTAATGAAGTTCGGTGGCGGTGAAGTTGGTGGTTCAGGTGGTGATGTTGGTGAAGTTGGTGGTTCAGGTGGTGATGTTGGTGAAGTTGATGAAGGTGATGAAATTAATGAAGAGATATATATCATCTTTCTATATATATACATACATATCAATAATCTATCTCCATAACAACCTTGTTGAAATTGAATAGCTCCATGATTTCCTTCTTCTTCTCTTCTTTCCCAAAATTCTTCATCATTATCATGATCCAAGAAGACCCATCATCATCATGTAGCCTCCTCCGATTACGAACCAAGACAGATACAGTAGAAAACAAGTTGATTGATTGATCACTTTTAAACCCATTTTCATTTTGTCTTGATTTCTTCACCTTTCCCTCATACTCCTCTGCAACCAACATAGCAATATCCGCCATCTCTCTCTCTCTCTTTCTAGATCTCTTTGTGGTGGAAAATATGATATTATGATTATTGAATTGTGTTTTCTTTCATCTTTCTCACTAAAATAAAGAAAAAGCTTAGATAGATAATTGAAGAAGAAGAAGATCACTATCCGAACCACCAACTTCACCGCCATTGAACTACATTACCGCCACCACCACCATAACCAGTTCTGTTACCACCTAGAACCATGTTCCACATCATGTTATAATGAAGAAGAAGAAGAAGAATGAGGAAGATGGAGGAGAAAGAAACAAAAGATGAATGTTTCGAAATTTTCAAAATTAATTTTTGAACAACTTTCGACATACCAAAATCTCCTATTACACGATGAAGTGAGAAAGTGAGGTAGTGTAGGGCGAAGTAGCAAATGAGGTGAAAAGAATGACGAAAGAATGAAGTAGAACCGTCAAGAATCAAGAAAGATATGAAGTTCGAAAGATGGCTCAAAGAAAAGTCGAAAACAAGAAGAAAAATCTTATTTTTTATCAGCTTTTGGAGCTCCGATATCATACAAAAAGAGGAAGAACGAGACGTGTGAGATGTAATACGAAAACTAAACCGTGAGTTGAATCCAACGACGTAAAAATGAAGCGAAACAAAATTATGACGAAGGAGATAGAAGGGCTTGAAGTGGTGATGGTTTGCTAGTAAGAAATGGTGGGTCTTCATATTTCTTTTGACATTTGGGACCAAAATATAATTTTTTTTAACTTTTTCCGTTTCAAATATGACGGGGCAAAATTAATAGTAACTTAGATAATATGGGGGTACATGTGAAAATAAGAGCAGTCTGGGAGATCATTGAAAATCGTGTAAAAGTATAGGAGTATAAATGAAATAATCTCTTTTAAATATATTCTCCAACAAACTATCTATTCTTTATTTCATTTGTTGAGTCTTCTTTAGTGTGCGTCCTAACTATATATAGCTAATGATTTGATATCTAATTAAATTAGCTAGCCAAGAATTGAGTTTAATGGAATACATTTTTATGATTTTATGCTATAAAATAGTTAAAAGAAGATTTTAATGAACTTGATAATGATGCTTTTAAACACACACACACACACACACACACACAGAATAGGGGTTGTTATCATCGTCTACTGTCAAGTTAAAGCTGGAGATGCAATGGCAGGGGATGAAGAGATTGATGGGGAGAGAGAGAGAGCTAGCCAATGGAGAGATGGTGGCATATGGGTTTGTTCAAATGTTATAAGGTGCATGGCAAGAGTCATGATGTATGGCTTTGATGCAGTGGATTGGTGATAAGATGAGTTTTAGAATCGGCATGATTAAGCTCAAATTTATATGAAGTTAAAGGAACATATAAGGAGTGCCACCTGTATTTATTTTTTTATTTTTCTCTCTTATAGATAATGTAATAGAAATGGACAGATGGTTTGACTAAGAATCAATTTAAAAGTGTACAGTTTGAATTGAAGAAATTAAAAATTTAGAGTTTAATTTATTACAAAAATTAAGTACCAAGGTATTTTTTATTTTTTGTAATTTCATTTTCTTTTACATTGACAAATTCAATAGCCTTAATGACCACGGCAAAAATCCCACAATGTTGAAATGCCCAGCAATCATTCAAAAAAAAATAAAAATTACCATTTCATCCAAAACAGCTTGAATAATGAGAAAAATATAAGACTTGCTATTTATCTTCCTAATTCAAGAAAATAAAATTTAGGTGTTAAAGAGAAAAATAATAACTTGTATTTAAATTCATTTCTCAAATAAGACTACCATTCAAACACAAAAATGAGAAGTAGCAGAAAATGATGATAGCAAGAACCATACAAGAAACACCAATACCACCTCGACAAGATTGGTTTTCCCCAACCAAAAATGATCACCTTGAAGATGTACACTTCTGATACGTGTTTGACACAAATACGTCTCCTTAAGATCCACAGCAAGCTGATTTTTGCGCAGTTTGAGCACCCCCTCCTGCCTGGTCCGGTTGGTTAATCCGGATGGTTTGAGGCTGCAACCGAAGGGACAAATCAGTATTTAGCAACTACAAACCCATGTTCGGATTCACTAGAGTAATGAAGAAAACATTACACATGCCAAAACTCTCTCTCTCTCTCCCCCCTTCATATTTAATGAAAGGTATTTGCCAGATTCAGAGAATATGATTTGCAAAGGTTAAAGACACCAATGAAAAGAACAACCTATTGTCATATATGTAAACTGAAATCATATATATTAATGAAACATCATGCAGGACTTGTAAAGAGGGGTCTGAAGAACTCATACCTCAACCTTGGAGTCGGTCTCTACAAGTCTTTGCTTTATATCCCTTGCTATTGAAAAGAAAACCTCCTCCACATTCATATTTGTTTTTGCACTCTGCGTCACATAATACATTTAGCATCACATAGTGTATACACCACCCCAAGTAATTTTGGCATTAGCAACAAACTTACAGTCTCGAAGAATTTGATGCCATATTCATCAGCAAGTGCTTGGCCCTTTGATGTAGGAACAGCCTAGATAGAGAGAGAGAGAGATTCCAGTCTGATCAATATTGAAGATTGCATTGTAAAATGCACTAAGAGAGAGAGAGAGAGAGAGCATACCCTTTTGCTTTCATCCATGTCAGCCTTGTTACCAACCAGTATTTTGTTAACATTGTCAGAAGCATGCTGTTCAATGTTACGAATCCAATTCCTAATGTCTAAACAAAGGAAGGAATCAGTTCAATAAAATTGAAAATGAAAATAAAAATACTAGAAGAATCTGCTGGTGATGTATAAAGCTCCATCGAGCATCAAAAGTAAATTTCATGAGCAATTCGCTAGTGTTCAATCATCAAAAGTAAATTTCATGGACAAACATTTGACATTTATCTTGTGTTTGGTTCTTGGATTTGTTAAGAGAAATGAGAGGGAAAAAAAAATATTTGAAATAGGGAAGCTAAAAAATGAGAATTAAATGAATATACATTTCTCAAAAAAAAAAAAAAAAAAAAAAAAATAAAAAATTAAAAATTGGTTACTCCTTGAGAAAAAAAAAAAAAAGCATAAGTGATTTAATTTCCATCTCTTTTTCCTATTCCTTCACAAATTCAAGATCCAGACATAGCCTTAAAAGAACAAAAACCGTCAAAAAAAGTGGACAACCTCCTTTGGCTGAATGAAGGTAACAGATATTTAAACTGCAAAAAAAATGGCTATCCAAAGCCTGAACTACGAGAGTGGAGAAAGCAATTACTATTGAAAGAAGACTCATCAGTTACATCATACACCAGCAAAATACCCATGGCCCCTCGATAGTAAGCTGCAGAAGAGGGAGAAGAGCAACTTTCAGAAAACTTATTAACAATTTAAAATGAGAGATAATGCTCTGAAAATTAATGCCGTTATAATTTCTACTGGGAAAGGGGGAAAGAAGATGATGCCAATGTGACCCATAGAATTCTCCAATTCAAACCCTAATTAAGTTCTGCAGTCTATAGTGATTTAAAGGAGTAAGAAGACGAATAATCATCAGTATCTATCCCTCATCAAATAATGATCTGTCTAATTTTCTTAAAAACTAATTTCTAGTTTTAGTTTTTGTGAACTTTGAGTTTCTCAATTTAAACTTCATTATGAATATTGGAATGCCATGATGGAGGGTAATAATGGTGGAAATAGCAGCAAGGCTGGTGGAATTAAGGCAAGCTTGACAAAGTCTTTGCTGTGCTCAAAACCACAGGGAAGATGCCGTCAACCAGAAGGCAGGCATGTTCAAAGGGTTGCATTTCCAAACATGTGAGGGAAGAAATCCCCAGTGCCTCCTCAATCCATAGACTCAAAGAAGAATAAAAAATAAAAATAAAAAAGAACGAAAGAACGAAGTGAAGGGGAAAGAGAGGATTATATTATTGTATTTTGGGTTAGCTTCTTTTTGGAGTTATCACTCATACTAACCCACCAGTTTTCTTCTTTAATCTAGCACTCTTGAGAAGTTTTTTTTTCATATATATTTCATTCAGTCGAGGTTTAGCATGGTGACTGAACAAAAAATTGACTCCTTGTGTAATTTTACTCCTTAACTGTGCATATTTCATTCAATAATGCACACATAAGAGTAAGAAGGGAAGAAGAGGAAGAGGAGCAGTATTTCAGTTGGGTTTAACATGGAGATCAAACAACATAATGACTCATTCAATGTATTGTTATCACATCTAACTTTCACAGTTTCTATGGCCAATGAGCCTCAAGGGAGTTGGTAAAACAGATGGTTTTTCTTCAATTTAAGTCTATCACTGTTAGAAGAATGTTTCAACGAATCGTAGTGTAGAAAATTTAATCTATAAAGAGAAATCGAGAATTGTATTATTGATTGATATATTGATTGTAGTTTGTAATTGTTATCTTGTATTACAAATCAGAGTGACATTATATAGGAGAGGGTTTGGGTAGTAGGTGAGGAGTAGTGGAGTGTAGTAGGTGAGTGTGAGTAGTGGAGTGTAGTAGGTGAGTGTGAATGGTAAATTCTAACACGTAGAACTCTCCACAACTACTCATTTTGCTTTTAACATGGAAAACTCAAAACTTACCAGTTGTAATTGTTCGAAATCGCTCTTGACCAGCAGTATCCCAGATTTGTAGTTTGATTCGTTTGCCATCAAGCTCTATGGTCCTTATCTTAAAATCAATGCTGCATAATAAGGACCAAACTTGTGAGATCATAAGCAGTTCATATAAGAGAATAAAGAAAGACCCTATATTGACATTTAGATTATTTAAGATACCTACCCTATGGTTGTAATGAAGCTAGTGGTGAAGGACCCGTCTGAGAAACGCAAAAGGAGGCAACTTTTACCAACTCCTGAAAGATTAGAAGGAAATAAAAAATAAATTAATAAATAATTGGATTCAAATTGAGTAGATAAAACCCAACTATAAATATTCACTCAAATTAGTCACAATATTGTTGAGTATTCACACCAATGTGAACTTGGCTATGGAAGTCAAGTATGCAGGCTGTAAATATAGTTTTTCTGCAGATTTTCAAACCTGGGGTGGTTGTGTAGTAAGCTTGCCATTTAATCTTTTATAGTTGGTTGTTGGCAAGTAGAGGCTCTCTTGTTTGTGTATAAATTGGGAAGAGTTGTGAACTGAGAGATATCAGAAAGTGAAGAAAAAGAGAGTTGTGAGAAGTGTATGAGAGCTCTGAGTTGAGTAGAGAGAGTGAGATACTCCTCTGTTTTGTATTTTTTGCTCTGTTATAGTGCATTCTCTCTTTCTCCCGTGGACGTAGGCATTGGGCCGAACCACGTAAATATTTGTGCCTCATTTGTGTGTGTGATTGCTTGTTGATCATTTAGTGAGTGTATTGAATCCTAACAAAATGGTATCATTGCTGGTTGTGTTTTGCGAAAAAACAGAGTGCGATTTTTAGAATTGTCCAGAAATCAAAGTGGTCGAAATCGACTTTTGATCAAACCAGGTTGAAGCTCTCAACGAGACGAGCACACAGGAAAAAACCAGGTAAAAAATGGAGGTTGGAGTAGGCCCCACGCGCCTCTGACGCCGTTCCCACGCTCCAGAGACTGGTCGCACGCACTTCACGCGCGAAACCAGGGAAGAAGGCGACCCTTCTGTTTTTATGTAATAAATATTTATTTGTGAAGATATAAGACACAAGTCTTGTGCTGGCATAGTGGATAAAGCCCAGGTCTTGGAAGTCAAGAGTTCAAAACTCTTTGGCAACAAAAGTAAAAAAATTTTAGAAAATTCACCGGAGCCGAGCCAAAACCAACCCGCCTAAGCTGATGATGTCAGCAGATCTAGAGTAATTATCCGGTGCTTCACAGGTGCTCTAGATTCTACCAATCTGAACCTTTCAACCTGTTTTGGCTTGATCTGAACCATTCCGAGTCCGTTTTTTGACGATCTAATAGTGGTTTTCAACTATTTGGAATATTCCAAACACTATTTGGAATATTGGGCTGGCTTCCTTGAGTGATTGCAGCAGTTGGGTTCTGCTGGGCTTGAGCAAGAGCAGGAGTTGGAGCAAATTGATCAGGTGGAAATTCTGCTGGAACAATTTCAAGAATTCTGGGAACATTGAATTTATCCCACCACTTAACTGTGTGTTGGCGGATGATAATATTATCATCAATCCCATAATTCCATTTGTATGTATACTAGGTATGTTTCTAACTGTTTAGCTATATGAAGGAGATGGATATTCCAAACACTATTTGGAATATTCCAAACACATCTGTACAGTCAGATTTTACAAATCAGATTTCAAAAAATTTCAATTTTCATTTTGGCAATCTGAAGTGCTTTTCCAGCTAATTTGACCAGTTCGAACTCAATGACGAAGTCTTACTTTCAGGCAGAGATCATTTTTTGTAGAGAGAAGTATTGATGGAGGAATCAACGTCGACTTTGGGATCCATGATCAAGTTGAATGCTTCCAACTATGCAATTTGGAAGCTTAAGATGGAGAATGTCCTGTACTGCCGAGATTTGTTTGACCCCATTGAGATTAATGGAATCAAAGCAGCAACAGAAAACGACAAAGACTAGAAGCGGAAGAATCGAAAAACCATTGGCCAGATCAGGTACTGCCGAGATTTGTTTGACCCCATTGAGATTAATGGAATCAAACCAGCAACAGAAAACGACGAAGACTAGAAGCGGAAGAATTGAAAAACCATAGGCCAGATCAGACAATGGATCAATCACAGTGTCTTCCACCACGTCGCCCAGGAAACTGATGTCTATGCTCTCTGGACGAAGTTAGAAGGCATGTACTAGTCGAAGACTGCTTAGAACAAAGCCCTCTTAATGAGAGAACTTACTCGAAAAAGGGCGTTTCAGTGGCGAAAATTCAAAACAACCCCCGAACCACCGCGTGACTCTCACAGATAGCTTCCCAATGACAAATAGGACTTGCGACAATTGACGATGTAATTCGGATCCGTAGGTTGAGAGTTAGAGCCGAATATGTCCTAAACTTAGTCGAAAAAGAGCTTTTGGAGGGCGAAAATTTATAACAGCCCTGAACCACCATGTGCCTCTCACGAACAGTTTCCCCATGACAAATAGAATTTGTGACAACTGACGGAATGTAATTCGGGTCCGTAGATAAGGAGTTAGAGCCGAATACGCCCTAAACATAGTAAAAAATGCGTGTTCAGGAGCGAAAATTTAAAACAGCACCCAAACCACCGTATGGTTCACACAGACAGTTTCCCCATGACAAATAGGTCTTGTGACAATTAACGGAATGCAATCTGGACCTGTAGGTTGAAAGTTAGAGCCGAATATGTCTTAAAGTTACTTGAAAAAGGGCGTTTCGGGGGGCGGAAATTCAAAACAGCCCTCGAACTACCGTGTAACTCTCACAGACAGCTTCCCCATGACAAATAAAACTTGTGACAACTGACGGAATGTAATTCGGACCCGTAGGTAGAGAGTTAGAGCCGAATACACCCTAAACTTAGTCAAAAAACAACTTTCTGAGGGCGAAAATTCATAACATCCCCCAAACCACCGTGTGCCTCTCACAGACAGTTTTCCCTTGACAAATAGGACTTTTGACAACTGACGGAATGTAATTCAGACCCGTAGATAGGGAGTTAGAGGAGAATACGTCCTAAACTTAGTCCAAAAAGGACGTTTCAGAGGCGAAAATTCAAAACAGCCCCCGAACTGTCGTGTGGCTTACATGGACAATTTCCCCATGACAAACAGGACTTGTGACAATCGACAGAATGTAATCCAGACCCGTAAGTTGGGAGTTAGAGCTAAATACGCCTTAAACTTACTCGAAAAAGGGCGTTTCGAGGGCGAAAATTCAAAACAGCCCCCGAACCATCGTGTGACTCTCACGGACAACTTCCCCATGACAAATAGGACTTGTGACAATAGACGAAATGTAATTCGGACCTGTAGGTAGAAAGTTAGAGCCAAATACGCCCTAAACTTAGTCGAAAAAGAGCTTTCTAGGGGCGAAAATTCATAACAGCCCCCCAACCACCGTGTGCCTCTCACGGACGGTTTCCCCATGACAAATAGGACGTGTGACAACTGACGGAATATAATAAAGACCCGTAGGTAGGGAGTTAGAGCCGAAAACGCCCTAAACTTAATTGAAAAAGGGCATTTTGGGGACGCAAATTCATTACAGCCCCCGAATTACCGTGTGGCTCACACAAACAGTTTCCCCATGACAAATAGGACTTGTAACAATTGACGAAATGTAATCCAAACCCGTAGATTGGGAGTTAGAGCCAAATACGCCTTAAACTTACTCAAAAAAGGGCATTTCGGGTCGAAAATTCAAAACAGCCCCAGAACCACCATGCGGCTCTCACGGACAATTTCTCCATGACAAATAGGACTTGTGACAACTGACGGAATGTAATCCGGACCCGTAGGTTGAGAGTTAAGAGCCGAATACGCCTTAAACTTACTCGAAAAAGGGCGTTTTGGAGGCGAAAATTCAAACCAGCCCCCGAACCACCATGTGTATCTCATGGACAGCTTCCCCATGACAAACAGGACTTGTGACAACTGACGGAATGTAATTTGGACCCGTAGGTAGGGAGTTAGAGCCGAATACGCCCTAAACTTAGTCTCAAAAGAGCTTTTCGGGGGCTAAAATTCATAGCAGCCCCCGAACCACCCTGTGCCTCTCACGAACAATTTCCCCATGACAAATAGGACTTGTGACAACTGACGGAATGTAATCCGGACCGGTAGGTTGAGAGTTAGAGCCGAATACGCCTTAAACATACTTGAAAAAGGACATTTCGGGGGCGAAAATTCAAAACAGTCCCCGAACCATTATGTGACTCTCACGGACAGCTTCCCCATGACAAATTGAACTTGTGACAACTGACGGAATGTAATCCGGACCCATAAGGAGGGAGTTAGAGCTGAAAATGCCCTAAACTTAGTCAAAAAAGAGCGTTTTAGAGGTGAAAATTCAAAACAGCCCCCGAACCACCGTGTGGCTCACACGGATAGCTTCCCCATGACAAATAGGACTTGTGACAAATGACGGAATGTAATCCGGACCCGTAGGTTTGGAGTTAAAGCCAAATACACCTTAAACTTACTCAAAAAATGGCGTTTTGTGGCGAAAATTCAAAACAGCCTCCGAACCACCATGTGGCTCTCACTTCCCCATGACAATTACGACCTGTGACAACTGACGGGATGTAATTAGGACCTGCAGGTTGGGAGTTAGAGCCAAATACGCCTTAAACTTACTCGCAAAACGGCGTTTCGGGAGCAAAAATTCAAAACAGCCCCCGAACCACCGTTTGACTCTCACGGACTGCTTCCCCATGACAATTACGACCTGTGACAACTGACGGAATGTAATTAGGACCCATAGGCTTGGAGTTTGAGTCGAAAATGCCTTATACTTGGTCGAAAAACTCGCAACACTTAGGCCTCGTTTGGGAACAGGCTATTTTAGTAACTTTTTGGCTTTTTACACACCTTAAACTTACTCAAAAAATGGCGTTTTGTGGCGAAAATTCAAAACAGCCTCCGAACCACCATGTGGCTCTCACTTCCCCATGACAATTACGACCTGTGACAACTGACGGAATGTAATTAGGACCCGTAGGCTTGGAGTTTGAGTCGAAAATGCCTTATACTTGGTCGAAAAACTCGCAACACTTAGTCTAAAGAACGACAACTTTATGAAAATAACATCTACATATTTTAATAATTGCCTTTATATATTCATAGGACGAAGAAATTGCATATTAGATTGTTTGTGCAGTTGGTTGGAATAAATATTGCATGATACATATATATACTTTCTTTTATTTCCAAGAAGGCATTTCTCGAATG